TATGAATGGAAGGGGAGAGAGAGCAGGAAAGGGGAGGGTTGCAGGTGGGAGGGAAGTCACTGGGTGGAGGGAAGCCAATGTAATCCATAAGCTGTACTTTGGAAATCTATATTCATTAAATAAAAGTTAAAAAAATAATAAAAAATAAAATAAATAAAATCTTTAAAAAAAAAGTAGTGCCTCTTTCTCCTTCCATGTTCTGAGTAAACTGCAAAATAAAACACTGAGCCAGAGTAGATACTAAAATCACACAAAAGTCAGGTGTATTTCTAGATAGAGGCAACAAAAATCTAAATGATTTTAATATTATATTTAATATATATTATAAATATATTATAAAATATTGCATTTATTTTAATAATTATTTTTATAATTATGATGGCATCAAAGAGGATAAAATAGGAATGAACTTAGCTAAGACATGTAAGATTTATACGCTTGAAAAACTGTTGAAATAAATTCACAAAGACCTAAATAGGAAGACTATTGCGTGTTCATGGATTAGAAGACTTAATTTTGTTAACAGGGCTGTGCTCTGCCCAAGGTGACCTGCAGTTGCATTGTAATACTCAGCTGCTTTTTTTATTTTAGAAGATTTATAGATTTATTTCTTTGAAATAAAGAGAGAGGGAGAGAGAGAGAGGGAGAGGAAGGGAGGTCTTCCATCTGCTGGTTCACTCCCCAAATTACCACAATGGCCAGAGTTGGGCTGATCTGAAGCCAGAAACCAGGAGCTTCTTCTAGGTCTCCCATGTGGACGTGGGGGCCCAAGGACCTGAGCCATCCTCCACTGCTTTCCCAGGCCATAGCAGAGAGCTGGATCAGGAAGGACAGCAGCTGGGACTCAGATGCCCAGACGGGATGCCGGCATCACAGGTGGTAGCTTAGCACATTGTTCCAGAACACAAACACCCTCGTTTTGTGCTCCTTATGGAAGATTGGTTCCCTTATCAAGCTTCCTTCTTAATAGTCCCGCCGTTGCACTAGGGGCATGAACTTGGGGGATACATTCAAAACAGAGAGGAACCAAGACATTCTGCTGTTTAAAATCAATATTTGACTCCCCATGGTGGTCAGAGTGGATTTTCACCCCAGATGGCCAATTCAGCACGAATGTACCCACAAACACACAGACCCCACAGCCCCCACCGTGCCCCAGCATCTCCTCAGAATCACATCATAGCTTCACCCCTCATCTCCCGTTCCGGGCGCCCGCGTTTTGTGCTCTCACCAGGCTTCCTCCTGCCTCTTCTCAGACGTCAGAGCCCGGTCTCCCTTCTCTGGGAACAGCTTAACTGCCCCTTTTCTGTGCTCCCCCAGCACCCGGATTTACCCCTTTCCTAATGTTTCTAAGTTTTTCTAACCATCTCTTAAATAGTGCTTTTTTCAGACTGGCATCTTTTAGAGAGCAGGATTTGAGCTTGCTATTTTGTTCTTTTTTTTTTTTTTTGACAGGCAGAGTGGACAGTGAGAGAGAGAGAGACAGAAAGGTCTTCCTTTGCCGTTGGTTCGCCCTCCAATGGCCACCGTGGCCGGCGCATCGCGCTGATCCGAAGGCAGGAGCCAGGTGCTTTTCCTGGTCTCCCACGTGGGTGGCAGGGCCCAAGCACTTGGGCCATCCTCTGCTGCTTTCCCAGATACAGTATTAGGGAGCTAGATCTGAAGTGGAGCAGCCAGGACTTGAACTGGTGCCACATGAGATGCCAGTATCACAGGTGGTGGCTTAACCCACTAAGCATAACACTGGCTCAAAGCTTGCTGTTGTGAATGAGGAGCGCCATGCTTAGTATACAGTAGCTGCTCAATGAATGCATGGTGAATAAGTGCGCATGTGTTGCATAGATACTTCTGGAGGAAAGGGGGGTGTTAAAGGAGCTGCCAATAGCTCGGTGTAATTTGAAAGAACAGTACATAGTAGACTCGGGTCCGTCAAGAGGCACCAGCGGTCAATGACCATGATTGTGCACACCGACTCGCTCTCAGCTCTGCCTGTGCAGCTGGCAGGATGATGCCCACTTATAAAGGGCCTCCTGTGTGTTCAGCTGAAGTGTCTGACTTGTACGGTCGGCAGTTGGAGGCCCCTGAAGATTTCCGACACGAGCGATAATTCAGATTGAATTGCCTTTGAGTCGCGTTTCACAGGCTCTTCCACCCACAAAGTGGCGAGACTTCAGCCAGCCACTTCAGCTTCTTCTGGAAAATGGGGAGCAAAATCACAGTAGCCGCCTCATCGAGGTGTTGCAAGGATCGGATGGGATACTGCAGATCTCGGCACATGGCAAACAGGTGCATAGAATTCCATCGTGATCCTTGGCAGGGCCTTTGTCCTCTCCAGGCCTCACTGGAGGTCATGCTTGCTGTCACATCTTTAGGCCCCACTGCAGAGCCTGGCAGGTAACAGCTGCTTTACCAAACACTGGTCGCATGAAGGGGAAGAGCATGAGAAGGAGGTCTCCTGGGACTATCCTACAGGACTGTCCCCAAGCCCAACGAGACAGCTGAGGAACGTCCTGTGGACGATGAACTGTCACCCAAAGCTGAGCTGATCTAATGATTTGTGTCTCAGAATAGAGCAGGACCTAGATGAGCATATATTTCCAGAATTCTGTACAGTAAATCTCCTATTTGGGAGGCTGGTCATTAACATTGTTCAGCGAATTCTCCAGAGGGTCTTGTTACTTACTCCCGCCCCCAGTGACTCACGGTTCTTAGCCTGGGCTCCCACATTGGGCTGCCTGTGTGCTATGGTGCCGTGGGGCATGTGGAGTGCCTCCTCACCCCCAAAGTCGTTCTCATTGATGGGCTGTGGCCTTATATTCCAAATTAGTACTTTGCTATGAGACAAAGGATTTGTCCTTAGTGAAAACCTCGTAACTCCCCTCTGTATGAGTTTGCTGCTGCTTCCCCTTCCTGGGAGCAAAGTTTTTAAAAAGCATTTCAGAGTGCAAGAGACGTGGAAGCCACCCAGAGTGAGTAAGGTAATCCCACAGGACCTGAGACCCTAAAGGATTTTGTGTCCTATGTTCTGTGTTCCACTTGCTCGGTGACCTTAATGATGAGGTGACTGTTGGTTTGGTGTGACTGCTAGAACAGATGACTCTAAGTACTTACAAAATGGGTGAGTTGTACTCACCCTCTCTCACCCCCATCTGCAGCTCTGGAGTTGGATAATCCAGGGTCAACTCCAGGCTTGTTCACTTACTTAACCAGCTCTGTGATCTGGGGCTAACTTTTCAACTTCCTTCTGTCCCCTTGCTTTTTATCTGTACACTATAGCAATAGGAGCAGCTATCTCAAGTCTGAAAAATGTTCCATGCAGAACTAATCTATGCTGTTGGAAGTCAGGAATGTGGTTATCCTTGGTGAGGGTGCTGGTCACGGGGAGGGGCCACAGGGAAGCTTCTGGAAGGCGGGTCACCTTCTCTGGGAGCTGGTACATGGCTGTGCTGAATTTGTGACAATTCATTGAGCTGTATGTAATGTGTGCACTATTCTTTACATATTATTTTTTAAAAAGTTTTAAACAGCCATATGAAATACTTGATGTATAGGAAATATTGTTCCAATAGTAAGTTATTGTCAGCCACTTCCCTTATCTCCTGCTGAGTGATCACCCTCTAAAACTTTAACATGATTTCCAAATGTAAGGAAAGAAAAGTGGAAGAAGTAGAAGTGCTCACTGACCGCAGCCTTGACCGAGCACCCAGCAGTTTGGGCAGTTGTCCTTAAGGACTGGGAAGCTGTGCTGAATGGATGATTTCTGCTGTTGTCTCTTGTGCTCGGAAAGCTGCTTTCTGTAACTGTTAGAGTGCATTTGGACTCAGTTGTCGTATAGAATTTCTCTGCTTAGGGGAGCATCTTATTTGGCAAGGAGAGATTAGGGGCTTGTCTGGAAGGCGAGTTTAAAAGCATAATCCTTTTAAACAGATTGATAAAGTGTCAGATTCCTGTCTTTCACTGGGGGTGAAGGCAAGGATAAGATTACTGGCAGCGCCACCATTCCACGGTGCCACCAGTGTTTGGAACGAAAGTCCTGAAAAACGAGCAGGGAGGTCCCCGCAAACTCCAGCTGGCCTGTCCCCGTGTGATCACAATAGCATAAGCTCAGAATGTCTTGACCCAGCAAGGTCATGTCCGCAACGGCTGGATGTCAGTGACGCGTCTTACCTGCCCCAGAATGACTAAGGCCTATTTAAACCTCGTGGCTGGTTAATCATTAATGAAAGCTTTTTGACAAACAAAGTAGAGCAAGCCAAGAAATAAGGGTGGCTAAAAATTAGCCCAGGAAGGGGTCCTATCTCTTGCAAATACAGGAGTTGATGTTGCTCTTGATGGTGGAAAAGGAGTTGCATGGAAATATAATCCTACAGAGAAGACTTGGGCCCGCCCTTTAGCCTCACAGCCATCTGGAGGGCTGCAGGCTCCATCCCCTTGGCTGAGCAGCCTGCATTCCTGCCTCAACCCAGGGGGCTTACTAGGGACAATGGGGACACCTAGCATGCACAGGTGGCTGCTGAATGACCCAGGAGCGGATGGAAGGTTCCAGAGGCTGAAACTGCACCTGTGTAAGGGGGGGGGGGTGGGCACCAGTAGGTGCCCCGACTCCTTCAGTAGACTCTCCTGGGCAAGATCGCAGGTGGCAGAGCTGCCCTGGGCTGGGATGGCAGCGGGGAGTGACTGGTCAGCTCGGGGAGCTTTTGGTCACAGCAGCCTGTGAAAAACCCCTCCGCCTCAGCAGTGTAGGGAAGCACAGGGCTCCACCACTTCCTGGAGGAAACTCAGTCCTGAGGTGGAATGAGGGATTTAGGGGCTTTCCCGCTTGATTATGGGCTCCCAACTTCCTTGTGATAGGGACTGAATCTCTCCCTTTCACAGTTAACACAGGGCCACAGCCATGTTTAACGCTGAACAGAACAGAGGCTGTTTCAGGCCTCTTCTGCTTCTTAGCCGCATGGAGTTGCTTTAGGAGATGTGACTTTACTGTGTTCTCTTTCCTGCAGCCCTGGGCACGTCCTGCCCCTTTTCTCACTGCTCGTCTGCCCAGAGTCGTCCTCATCTCCTAGATCTCTTAGATCTTCGCACAGATGCCACTCCCCAACAGCTTTCTTGACTCTCTCTGCTGGGACGGAGGTAGGTGCCCCCTTCCATAAAACACTGTCTTAAGCCTGGGAGTTTCTGGAAGGCAGACTGGGTCGATTTTGTTGGCTGCTGCCTGTCCAGTGCCTCCTACTGTGCTGGCACAGGGTTGGTACTCAACAAATGTTTGCTGCATAAATGAATAAAGGGCTCAGGGTGGAAAGGATTGAATTAGTAGAGAGGAATGCATTTACACCACAGTTCAGAAGGGGAGGGGAAGGGAAGTAACCTGGAAGAGGGCCGCACCAGGCTTGTGGTCTTTTTTCTATAACCATGACGTTATCTTTGTCACAAAGTCCTCAGGGCACTTCGGAACTGCAGTGTGAACACATACCTCCACATTCATTTCTATCAGTTTTTGCTGTTGTGAATCATGAAAAATGACATTTTGGCATGGCTGTGTTGAAGAAGTGACTTTGACACCGTGATCCTCTGCCCCAGATACACCGTCAGCTCTCTCTCAGAACAGTTACTGAGATGACAGATGCACTCGCCTTAGCCTGTTCTGTCTCTTCCTTGACAGTCTGTTTCTAACTCTCCAAGGTCAGATTAGGTTTAAATACAGAAAGAGTGGAGAAACACCCACAAGGTGTGTTTGCTTCGACCCAAGTTCTAATCTGATGGACCAGATACAGCCTTCTCTTTCTAGGGACCCCGTAGCCCTCTGTTCTCCAGCCCCTCACGCTAATATACCTGGAAGAGATGTGGTTCCCCAAATCTGTGGCTCCAGGGACAAGCATTGTGCTCCACTGAGGCAGCCGGGTATGAAGTTGGAATACAAGGGGGGAGACCCGAGCTTTGCCACCAGTCACGTGACCTTAGAAAGGACACCTTGCTGCTTCAAGCACCCGTTGTTAAATTAGCAAAAACGAGTCAGCAATCCTGAATTCTCAACATGACCATGAAAATCAGGTGAGCTAATGAATGAGATGTCTTCTGATTGTTTTCTTAACAATCTAAGTAAGCACTTATGTACGTTGTCAGGGCAGGCGTTTCTGAATTAAAAAGTGGGGCCCGGGTTCTAGTGAAGCAGCGGGATGTTGCTGAGGTCCTGGGTGGGTGCTTCAGCCTGCTTGGTGGAGCTCTCTGGGGCAGGCAGCCTTGTAGATGGAATTCCTTAAATCCACCAGTGCACACACTTACACCAGCCTTATTCCTGCTCTTAGGTCTTGAGCAGGTATTTTCGGCCACTCTACCTCATTTCCATCCTCCAAGTTGCATACAAAAAAACTCCCAAAAAACAAAACCCAGCCAACCAACCAAACCAAACCACTGAAAGCCAACAGAAAAGCAATTAGACTTGTAGAAAGGCTTTTCTTTTCTGCAGACTTCTCCAGGGTCAGTGTGCCAACGGAAGCCGGGACGTGGAATCTGAGTGCAGTTGGGAGTCCTGCCTGTTACCATCGTGTGACCTTGGGGAGTCTCCGGTCAGGCCTGCCACTTGGCTGGCTTGTTGGGAGGTGTGCCTGAGATGACAGGGGCCAAGGAGCCTAGTGAATGGAAGGCTGATGAGGTCATGCCATTGACATCTCATTCTGTCCATGTTCTCCCACTTGGACATAGGCTCTGCACCGAGGAGAGGCACAGTCACACGTTTTGTATGACTAAGGGCATCTGTGCTTTCCTTCTAGAACGAGAGGGAATCAGTAGATCTTGCTGCCCTTTTAAACCCTGCCTGTCGCTGTGTCTTCTTGGTTAGTTCCTCAGCTTGTGCTGCCTCTGAAAAGGCCTGTTTTAAAATCTATTTAAGGGGAAATAGGAAGTTAGAATTACAAGAAATGTGGATTGAGAGGTCACAACCCAGGTTCAAGGTTAAGAAGGTAAAGCTCTTAATCATCAGCAAAGCCAAGGGGTATGATTTTGTTTTAAATATTTACTTATTAATTTGAGAGGCAGAGAGAGGGAGGGAGAGAGGTCTTCCATCTGCTGGTTCACTCCCCAAATGGCCACAACGGCCGGAGCTGGGCCGATCCAAAGTCAGGAGCCAGGAGCTTCTTCCTGGGTCTCCCATGTAGGTGCAGGGGCCTGAGGACTTGGACCATCTTCGGCTGCTTTCCCAGGCCATAGCAGAGAGCTGGATTGGAAGTGGAGCAGCCAGGACCTATATGGGATGCTGGCACTGCAGGCGGCAGCTTTACCTGCTCCGCCACAATGCCGGCCCCGGGAGTGATTCTTAAACGTACCTCTCCTGACATCCCATCACTCTCCCTCCGATCATTTGACTGGCTTTGCTGATAGACACTGGGTGAGTGAAGATCTCCAGGCTGTGCACTGTGAAGAGGAGGAGTGAGGCAGCCCTGGTTTCAGCAGCAGTGACCAGTCTCAAGGTCACTGCAGCACATCACAGACCGAGCAGTTCAAGGTCACCTGCCTCCACTTCTAAAGCTCTTTGGTTCACAGTGACAGGCTTTGCCTGTCCTCTTCCAACCCACGTGTGGAGTAGGACTTGCTTGTTCACTGCTGAGCTGAAGTCTGAGGGTAATAATTCACAGTTCAGCCCATCTTCAGTGATCATCCCAAACCAGACAGCAACAACCTGCCAGTCTCTCCACCTGGAAATACTGTATGCATAAATCTCTCCTATTCTGTCAAGGTCTTCCAGACTTTGTAAAAGAGAAAGAAAGCAAACAGTCTAAAGAAAACACAGTTTAACATAACTCTTGAAATTGCTTTAGAGAAAGCTTTATTTACTACATACATCCCAAGAATGTACTGTAAATGGAACAAGATCTAAAAAGCTCGTCAGATACAAAGCAGCTAAAGACAACAGCTAAACTACTAGAATGTTTGAAAACAGAACTCTAAATTTTTTTTTAACATTTATATAGTTTGTTCTTAACCCTAAAAAAAAAAAAACCAAAAAAGTTCACATTTCAAGTTATAAACTTACCTCAGTAGTGTGCATGAAATGGTTGTGAAACAACAGGAACAGACGAGACACACACAGGCTCACTGATACTCAACTGGCCACGTCACCGTTGGGTTGAAGGTAGTTTGGCAATGGCCATGTTAAGATACCACTTTTTTGCCTTTTTCTTTTTTTTGCAAATAATTTACAGGCACATGTAAAATACAGTAAGAACACTGGGGCCGGGTTCCCTCCCAGGACCCTCCGGGACAGTCCTTCCCTGGAAGGGGACCATGTCTTTCACACAGTCAAGGGCGAGGCTCTGTTCCAAACTGCCTTGTGTTGGATTCCTCCTGTCAGGAGATTCAAGTTTGGATGCAGCTTGCTGGGTACGTCAACAACAACATTGCACAATCACTTTATGTCATTTAAGAATGTTAGGAATGTTTAAAGGCCTTAGTAGGCACTCAATAGTTTTATAGAATAGTTAAATAAATATTCCTTATATATAAAAACTCATCTCATGCCAAGATGAGAGGGGGAAAGGCATTTAGAAATCTCTTAATAAAAAAAAAACACCTAAATATTTGCTAAGGGCATGATCCTATTTTAATCCACAAATAAGAATTCAGCCATAAACAAAAAAATCCAGTGAAAGATTTCATGATCTCTAACATGACATAAAAACACAACTGTGTATTCACTACCTTATTGCACACCTCACTTCCTTGATAGGGCCTTTGGGAAAAAAATCCCAAGTTGATGTATTTCATAAAGCAGATGACAATCTCAACATTTTACTGTATTTTACATTCACTCTGCTAAACAGAAGCCTTTAAAGAGGCACAAGACACTGCGATACATGTACTTCCTAATATAATAGACCTTTTAATAGCGTTGAAGTAAATGGTTTCATTTTGCATTAAACTACAAACCATGAACTTCTGCAACTTATAAAAGGACTAAAACCCAGCATTAGAAGATAATGACAGACTATCTTTTTAACTCCTATAGGTCTTCCTCCTCCTGGATGTGCACAGCAATGGAGGAAAATCCCTGCTCAAGAAACATAATATTTCCAACACCCTTGAGAACTACACACATTTTGCATGGAACATGATAAGGCAACTACCAAGACGGAAAACTTCCTGCTGACAGGGTCTTGGTGGGGGGCGGGGGGAAGTCTTGTCTACAATAACATACATTCCTTGTCTCTAAAAACTTATACTTCAAAAAATGAATAAAATAAAAGCACTAGAAAGGGAATTAAGGTTTTATACTTGACAATTAAATAGCTATGCAAAGATGCCTTATAAAACCTTGTGCTTACGTGTACTCTTATTGAAAATAGCACACATAGAAGATAGTACCGGCCTAACCCAAAAATAAAAAAAAAAAATAAAAAATACAAGAACACAAAAAAACCCCAACAAAAACCCAGGAAGAAGTATAAAGGCCACCAGTTGTTTTCTCTCGGGTTATTCGGTTATCTGAGACTTGCCAAACATGGAGGTTGAGGGAGGAGGGGGGAAGGTGGAGGTCACGTGTAGAAGTCAAGGCACGTGGCAAATGAGCCCAAGGTAACGGTGGCAGGCGAGAGCTCTCCAGTGTGGGACTCGGAAATGTGACAAGTCTTTTAACAGTTGGCTTAAGGAGAGACTGAGTGTTTAATTTCTTTTCAAAAGTAGAACCATCGTGGAACACACGCGGGCACACCATCAACCCTTAATGCCAGCAGAAATACAACAGAGGTTTGACTCATTTTAAAATTGCACTTTCCAGTATAACCTTTAAAATAATGTTTTCTGTAGGATTTTAAAGCACTACTGTTTGCATCTTTAAATATTGAAGATATTTTTCAAAATAGTTTCCTAGCTGCTTGGGTGTGCTTTTTTTTAATATATAGTTGATATATTAATGGAAGGTACTACAAAATAGACATCTCTGGAGTGCAGAAGTTAAGAAAATAACCTTCATACTGAAAATATATCCTTAAAAAACAACAAACAAAAACCTCTATACAAATGTAGTACAGCATATAAATTTTTCAAAGATGGTATTAAGGCACAAACCATTTGCGAGTCTCTTAGAAATGTATGAACACAGGCCTGCGGAATTGAACAGTCTTTAAAAACTCATGAAAACTTCATGTCTATAAAATATTTCCAGATGCGATTTGATAACATTCTTCACTTTCAGGTTTCACATGTGTGCTAATCCAACACGGGCTTTCTTCATAAATAGTCAAGTGTTCCTTGGGCGGTGGCTTCGTGCTCGGTCTTCGCGCCCGTCCCCAGTCTCAGTACGTCTGGTAGATGTCGTGAATGGGGACCTGGATAGCAGCAGCGGGGAAGGCCTGAGGTATGTAGCCCGCGTAGCCCCCGTACACGGCGGCCGCAGCTGCCGCGTTCTTCTGTAGTGTGGCAATGGTGGCCGTGGCTGGAGCAGCAAATGGAACATAACTGGCCCCGTAGATCCCAGCCGCGGGAATTCTCTGGACGTTAGGAGCCACGGTGTAGACTGGAGTTATTGGGCGACCCTGGGGAGCGGAGACAAGAAGAATCCTCCTTGAGACATGGCTGTACCTAGCACTCATTCAAGAAGCTTCTTCTAGGGTTGAGGGTACAAAAACGAAAAGAGCAGGTGCAGGGAGCCCGTGTCCCAGATCCCACCACAGTGCCTAGGATCAAGGTCTAGCTCTGCTCTAGCGCCCTGCTCCTGTGCCTCCACCCTGGGAAGAAGCAGGGCAGGTGGCTCGAGTACCTGGATCCCTGCCACCCCACGTGGGAGACGTGTGTTGCCTTTCCTGCTCCCGGGCTGTGTGGAAAGTGAACTGGTAGATGGGAGCTCACTCTACATCTCTGGACCAGGGCAAAGGGAAGGCAGCACACCCATCTCCAGGGGGACAGGTCCATCCCCACCACCGCCCCGTCAATGTGATGCATGGTTCCCACCATCTCCCACCCTGCCCACGACGCTCCGGTACCAACTGACTGGGGGAGCTGAGGCAGGAGTGACAGCAGCTGAGCTGGGTCCGAAGGAGAGCTGACAGAGCGCCACCGCGGGCTCTGAAAGTCCCCGCCCCTCGCCGCTGTCCACTTGACAGTGTGCTGTGCCATGCTTTCAGAACAAACAGGAGTAGCTGGGGGCAGCCTGCACTCGGTGTTTCCCAGAGTACAGGCAGCTAGATGGACAAAGAAGTTCTCTAACACTCGATTAACAAACTAGCTGGAGCCCATTACGTCCCCCAGGATGCCCTGTAGCAAAGGCTAGGCTTGGGCTAAACTTCCTGCATCTTCAAACAATTCAGGATACAGGAAATGAGCCACATCACTCAGTCATCAATCACAACGACTAAGCCGGTGCTTGACTGTGTGGAGGGGTACGGGTGTGTTAAGTGACGGGGCTTTTAAGCAATGGAGCAGATGCCTCTGCAGCTCATGCCTTTAGCCCTACATTATTTCACTTCCCACAGTCCGATCCCAGGAGTATCCCATGACCCTCTGCAACAGGGAGAGCAGCTGGGAAGAATGGTTCAGCGCAGGAGCCAAGGAATCGAGTGCACCAAAGAAGGAAGTCGTGGAGGACCTTGAGTGACACTGTCCCACGGGCTCCTCTACTGGGTTCACCAGCTCCCTCTGATGCCGACTCACATGTAAATGTGAACTGGCTCAAGCACAAGGCAGCAGTGTGCCAGGAGTTTCAGGTGTACCAGAGAGTTGACTTAACCTGGACACATGACCTTAGCGGTCATAAACACCAAATAGAGAAAAACACCTTTACCACTGTGTCCTCAAAACAGTGCCAGGAACAAGCGCCCAGGATCGCAGGGGTGAGTGAATGACTGCCCACAGCTGTGTGCAGGCGATGTGTAACAACCCTTGAGGGAAAACCAAGAACCAATCAGGCAACACTGCATCCTTTCTGAGCCTCTACCTTGTGCCTGGCCCTAGGCAGTGACTCAGCTCTATGGCAAGACCCACTCACTAGGAACCCCGAGTTGCAGTCAGGTACATGGTCATCGGCAAGCACCGCATGGGGGTGTCAGGGATAGGGGAGTAGAAAGGCCCTCCCTGCTCTGCGATTACCACGAGCTGCGAAGACAGAGAACACTTCAAGAAAGGTGACGTGACGGTCTGGGTATAAAATGGCTACATAGGAACACTCCTGGGCAGCTCCCAGGCAGGGGAGGATGACTGCCTACAGCCATGGGGGGACAGCAGTTGCCGGTGTGGCTCCCCCGTAGGAAAGGGTTCTTTTGTCAGTCAGTGGTACTTAAAATGCTCCTTCCTCCCCTGCTATAATTTGGCAGAGAAATTCGGAGGTGGAGGGCTTAGCAGACAGAACCCCGGTGAAAGAACTCAGACGAGCACCCAGAGTGCCAGATGTGAGCGAGACCAAGAGCAGCCAGGGCCCCACACCCCTAAGAAGCCATTCCCAGGTCGCAAAGTAGCTCCAGGCATTCTGCAGAGGAGGAAAAAAAATCTATGTGGGAGTCAACTGAGAACAGCTCCATTTTGAGCTAATTCATAAGCCACAACAACTACGAATAAGGTCTCTAATGACCACATCCAGTGCAGACCAATGTGGGGCAGGAAAAGGCTGGAATCAAGGGCCCAGAAGTTGAACCTGAGCAGAACTCAGACAACACACCAAAGAGAAAACGCTCATGAGTTTCTCAGTAGAGAGGAACGGGAAATTATAACCTGCTACAGGTGGACAGGAATCACTTCTGATGGTCTGTAGCTTTCTAGAGCTGGGCGCCAGGATTGGCAATACTCTGAATGTGTGAAGTGATGGAATGCCAGTGACCTCGGTCCAGTTAGTACACACTGTACTGTCAGTGCACCCTATAGAGATGTGCAATCACTAAATGTCAATAAAGATGTATGCCAAACAAGTTATTACCCATTCTACTAAGTTATTTGTGTGTGTGTTTGTCTGTGTGTGTCTCATATATATAGAGAGACAGACAGTTCCCAATATTAACCACATGTACTTCTCATTGTATAGTCTGAATCACTTAGAGCCTATTTCTTTAACTTTAGGAAATCCTGTGTTAGAGAATATTCAAGGCGCAGGTATTGGGCTCAGTGGTTAAACTGCTGCTTTTGGTCTCCTGCATCCCATATCCAAGTGCCTGGTTTGAGTCCCAGCTCTCCACTTCTGATCCAGCTTCCTGCTCATGTGCACCCAAGGAGGTAGAGAACTTGGGTTCCTGCCACTGACACGCAGGATGTGGATCAAGTTCCAGACGCATGACTTTGGCCTTGCCTAGCCCTGGCTGTTGGGAGCATTTGAGGGGTGAACCAGTAGATGGTAGTCTATGGCAAATTCAACTGGTTTTTTTTTCTGAAACAATGCAGCCAAGAGTGGCGTGCAGAGTAGCCACATAAACAGCACCCCAGTGTGGTTCATCAGCCTGGCTCTGTTTCTCAATCACTGAGGAACTGGTAAAAAATACCACCTCTAGAAGCCCAGGCCAGTTTGACCAAATGGGAATTTTCAGAGCGTTAAGTCTAAGAATCTTAGTTTTCCAAATGTGTGCCTTGTGACTGGTGGTAAGGGGCTGTGGTACGCTCCCTATGCGCTATGCACTGAGGAAAGACACCTAAGACACACCTCTGGGGCTGGACCAGTTTCAGTTCAGCTGCAGAGATACAACACAGTGACAGCCACATGCCAAGGGATAAGGCAGGAACGGGAGTGCGGGAGGCCGGGCTGGGAAGATTCTCCAGGAGGAACCGTACATAAGGACTTCCTGAGCAAGGGGGGTAGGAAGAAGAGTTTGGAAATAGGAGGGATAGCGCTGGAGGAGAGCACCGGGGGCAGCTTCCGTAAAACTTCATCTCGGCCGGCGCCGCGGCTCACTAGGCTCATCCTCCGCCTGCGGCACCGGCACCCCGGGTTCTAGTCCCGGTCGGGGCGCCGGATTCTGTCCTGGTCACTCCTCTCCCAGTCCAGCTCTCTGCTGTGGTCCAGGAGTGCAGTGGAGGATGGCCCAAGTGCTTGGGCCCTGCACCTGCATGGGAGACCAGGAGGAAGCACCTGGCACCAGCGTGGTGCACCGGCTGCAGCGGCCATTGGGGGGTGAACCAACGGAAAAGGAAGACCTTTCTCTCTGTCTCTCTCTCTCACTGTCCACTCTGCCTGTCCAAAAAAAAAAGAAAAAACTTCATCTCTACCTCTGGAGAGCATCTCCCTCCCCAGACACAAAGGGCGGCAGTGCGGGCGCAGACTCCTGTATGTGTGGGGTGAACGTCTTGCAGTAATCCTCACCGAGCTGCGGTCTGGCAGGGGAAAGGTGAACCCCCTCACTGGACTTGCTGTCAGTTCCTCACCAACACGAGCTGTAACTGTTCCAGTGCCATTGAAACAAAAGTCTACGTAATCGGACATTGTGGGGGCGAAAAATCGTATGCATAAAACGGTAATATTGGGGCAGTACCATTTTTTTTTTTAAAAAGGGACTTACTTACTTGAAACTCAAAAGAGAAAGAAATCTTCCATCTGCTGGGCCACTCTCTGAACAGTCACAACTCCTGGCTTCAGCCAGGAGCTGGGAACGCTCCCACCTAGAGTGGCAGGGGCCCAAGCACCTGGGCCATGTTGTGCTACCTTCCTGGGCACGTTAAGTATCAGAAGTGGAGCGGCCGGGACTCAAACCAACACTCTGGTACGGGATGTGGGCCTCGCAAGCAGGGGTGGCTTAACCAGCGGGCCACAACACTGACCTTGAAGCAGTACAATTCTTAAAATTTTTCTTTTCCCTTAGGATTCATACTAAAAAATCATTCATGTCACCCAATCCAATACTAACAGAGTTAAGCACACGGTAAACTTTGAGTGCTGAGTACTGAGGAGTGCACTCCAGAAAGGCCACACACACACACACACACACACACACACACGCACGCGCACACACACGGCGCTGACCGCCGGCAGCAAAGAACTCTACCTGGAAAGGTGGCGGCGTTGACACGGCAGGAATGACGGCAGCGGCGGCGGCGGCGGCGGCGGCGGCGCTGGCCGGGTCTGGTTGCACGGCAATGGGGCTGATCATGTGCTCCATGGTGTGGATTTTGCCATCTTCAATCATTTTAGGGGCCGGAGCTGCCTGAAACATGGAATACTGGGCCCCAATGGCAGGGATGGCCACTGCAAAAGGAGCAAGAGGGAAAACAGGTCAGTTAGCGAGGAGGCTGTGTCGCCTGCCCTGCAAGATTTTTACAAGCCCTGGGTGGCAGTCGCGGGCCTTCGGGAACAAGCCACGGGGGAATTCCCTCTGCTTGTGCTTCCAAAGGAACCACCTGGGAATGGAGCGCGCAGTTACAGGACCTGCACGCAAAGTTACAGTTTGCCTTTTGTACCAGGATTTGACTACTTCTACAGAAAGTCTCATTTTGCCTCTTACTCTTGGCAAGCGAGAAAGGGCCTCCTGACCCTGAGGAAAGCGGCTCAGCATAGGACGGAAGATCTGCGGCTAGAGGCCCACCTCATGGGACAGGGCCTCTGCCCGTCCATGGCTCACCACTGCCCTACCCACTCTGACAGGTGCTCCTGAGGGCTTCAGTCCCAGAACTGAGACCTGTGCACAGCCTCCCCACCCTGAACTTCAGATTGTAACACCACTGACGCAAGGGGAAAAATGAACTTAGGAAGAATGGAAAATTCTCTATTTTCTAACATACACTCAATAGTAAATCATACAATGGATGGACTGGGCATTTTTTTGGTAGAAACGGCCAATTCAAAGAATTTCTGTAAGTGAAATTCAGGACTGATTTCAACCAGAGATTCAAACAGCACTTACTGAATGTCAGTATACAATCAGGAGAGAATAAAAGGAAAAGACCCCAGCCCTCAGTCGGGGGATTTGTGTATGTACATGTTGTGTGTGTTGAAAGGATATGCAAGAATGAGATGAATGCATAAAGAATCTTTTCACATATGTTGTTTCTCCTACCAGGACTATATTCCAACAGAGGTTGACATGACCAAAGAGACAAAGGACTACAAGCTAATCAATGGCACAGCCATTCAATAAAACATTTAAAATTTTAACCAGGGGTGGGCACTGTGGCACAGGGGGTTAAGCCAGTGTTTGTGACGCAGGCATCCCCTGCCAGAGTGCTGGTTTGAATCCCAGCTCCCTGCTGATGTGCTGGGGGAAAGCAGTGGATGATGGTCCAAGTCCTTGGGGGTCCTGGCTCCTGGCTTCAGGCTGGCCTAGCCCCAGCATCGCAGGCATTTGGGGAGTGAACCGGAAGGAGGAAGCTCGCTCTCCCTGTCACTGTGCCTTTCAAGTAAATCATGTTTGGGGGTGGGCAGAGGACCATTTCAATTGCCCACAGACTGAATTCTCCCAGTTGGGATGCTTGTTTGTGCTGGCAACGAGTTTGAGCTGCACTCACACAACAGAATTAAAGCTTCTTGTTACAATTACATTGGGAGACCCAAGGGCACTCACAACATGGGCAACTGGTTTGGGAGCCTGGGGGTGAAAGCAAACTTCAAGGTCCTCGGCTTGAATGAACTGAGTGTCCCTAACCCCCACCTACCGAGCCCATGAGAGAAGGCAGTGAGCAGCTGTAAGGGGGTCCCCCTGCCTGGTCACCGGGTGTTCCTGCTGGCTCAGACCTCGGCAAGGGGCCAGGATGCTACTTGCTCTTCAAGGGGGATTTTTCTATCCTTCCCAACAACTCTCAAAGCTGGCCATGGCCCCTTGGCTTCTGACAGCTGGGGCAGAAATTGGCTTAAGTAAGGAGAAGCCAGGTCTTAGTTGACAGAAGATACAGAGAACTTCATATTCTCTCCCCTGCTCCCACCCCGAACTCTGTGCACTTGGCCACAGCTCGAGGGCAAAACTACCAACCAGTGACTGCCTTCCGAAAAACCTTCCTACACGCTCAGAGCGAAACCACCCCCTTTCGTTCCAGATGAGAAGGCACCGACAGCAACCTCCCTCTTGCCTGGTCCCTGGTCGCCCGTGAGAAGAGCCATCGCGGTACTGACAGGACGAGCGCTCCCTTCAAAGACAGGGTGGGGGTTTGGCGGGAGGAGGTGTCCTCCCCGGGTATACTGACCTGTACCCGGTTTAATGGCAACCGGATTGACGGCAGAGATTTCCAAATTGGGCACAAGTTCATATCCTTTTTCTTGCTGCTTTCCTTTCCCTTCGTGGTAGCGGCTATATATCCCACGGCCAGCAGAGTATCCCCCGAGGTAGGAACCCCTGGGCCCTGGGGTCCTGTTGCCGGCTGCACCTCGCCCTCGGCCTCTTATGCTGCCTGCTTATAGTAACAACACAAAACATGATGAGCAGCCAGCGGCGACAGCACAGGAGCAGACGACGTGCACACGGGGCTCAAGGCGTGCAGTCGTGAGCCCCGAGTGCAAGTTGCTCTTTAGTGGGCTGGGTCAAGACGCTCCTAGCAGGCTCCTTGGGCAGGAATCTGCACCCCGACTTAAGCCTGCTTAGTCCGGGACCACCCTGCAAGGTGAGCTCCTAGGGACCTTCAGAAAAACCCTCCCAGAGTAAGAACGAGGCAGGTCTGGAAAGGGATCTGCCAGCCCACTGTCCTTAGCGTACGCCTCAAACAACAGGCCTGGGGAGGTCAAGGACTCAAGTCTCAGAGCCAGCTAACCTGACAGCAGGGCCCACACAGACCTTTGCCAGGTGAAGCCTGGTTCCAGTAAATCTTAATAAATGATTGGCGGGGGGCGGGGGGGGGGGGGGGATTGGTCCCTGCTGACATCCTAAAAAATTCCACAAGTAGATTTTTCATTTAAATACCAGGAGTCCCTGCCCTCTTTAGGGTGATCCCTGGAAAAGCAGAATGTAGGGGCTTGCATTCTACCCCCACCATCCCCGCCTGGATTTTACCGCTCGGTCCTGAATGCTGCCATTTCTCTCCAGGCTACAGAGGGGGACTGCGCGAGTATTAGCAAATAGCAGAGCCCGGATTGGAAAGCCAAGCGCAGGGGTTGGGGTTCCGGCGGGGGCCCGCCCCACCCCAAGGGGAAGGGAAGAGGCCCGACTAACCTTTCACGAAGTAGTCCCTGTTGGGCCCGATGAGCGCATTGTAGGGGTAGCCGTAGTAGGCCAGCGTGTAGGGGTCGCACGAGTACACGTAGCTGGGCGGCTGCGCAGCCGCCTCGGCCACGGCGCCGCCCTTGGCCGCCTTCTGGTAGCGCGAGTACTGCTCCTTGTCCACGGGCTTGGCCAGCGTGACCTCCAGGCACGAGCCTTCGAGCTCGGTGCCGTTGAGGCTGTTCATGGCGCGCACGGCGTCCTCGCGGCTGGCGAAGTGCACGAAGGCGTAGTCGCGGATCTTCTTGACGCGCTCCACGCAGCCCGGGTTGAACTGGCCGAAGCTCTTCTTGATGGTGTCCTCGGTGGTCTCGATCATGAGGTTGCGCACGTAGAGGATCTTCACGGTCTCCATCACGTCCTCGTCCACGTCGATCTCGGGCTCGGCCCAGTCCACGGCGATCTGGTGGCCCCACAGCTGGATGCGGCCGGGCATGAGCTTGCGGCGCGCCATGGCGGCCGCGCGGTGGCTCTCGTACTCGACGAAGGCGAAGCCGCGGTTCTTCATCTTGTCGGCCGCGCTGGCGTAGACGATGACGTCGAGCACGCCCTCGGTGACCTTGGCGATCTCCTCCAGGATCTCCTCGCGCTTCTTCATCTTGGGGATGCCGCCGATGAAGAGGCGGCAGTTGTCCACGCTGCAGCACACGCCGAGCAGGCGGCCCGGGCGGATCTCGTAGTTGTTGAGCTCACGCACGGCGCGCTTGGCCTCGTGCTTGTGGCAGTACATGACGAAGGCGTAGCCGCGGTTCTTGCCGTCGAAGTCCATCATGAGGCGCAGCTCGTAGATGCGGCCCACCGCCTCGAACACGGGCACCAGCTCGTCCTCGTACACGTCGCGCGGGATCTTGCCCACGAAGACCTCGCAGCCGCGCTGCGGGTGCGGCCCGTCCCAGCCGGGCGGGGGGCCGCCGTACTTGCGCTGCCCGTTCTCCTGCGCCATGCTGTAGCCCGTGCGCTCCAGCAGCGCCAGCAGCGCTGCCTCATTGGGCGCGCCTGCCACGCCCTCGGGCACCTTGGCCGAGGCCACGGCAGCACCGGGGTCACTGCTCATGGCTGCGGTGGAATCCTCTGCGGTCATAATGGCAAAGGCATCCACGGCTGGTAGGAACCTGGGGAGGCAGAAGGGGGCACGAGTGAGTGGGGTCGGAACCTGTGCCTTCGCCTTTTTTTTTTTTTTTTTTTTGCAGGACCACAAAGACTTTTTGGCACGTTCAGGACGGCACCATGGCAAAGCTAAGTGAGAATAAGATGGAGGCCGTTCTGCAAGTGCAGCAGCCCCAAAACAGCCTAAAATAGCCAAGTTGTTTTGCAGGAAAAACCAGAAGTGACTTGAGGGGAAAAAAAAAGTGGACTGAGCAGGTACTTCCGCTTTACGCAGCACCCACCGGCTTTGACATTGCGAGAACCTGCAGTCATTGCTGGGGAAACCTCACGTCCCTGCAGCAACGGCTGCGTCTGTAGCTTCATTCCTGCACTCCCGACTCAAATTGGTCACCTTTAGTAAGAGCATCTTTCAAGCCTCATTGCATCATTTTGGGGAACACAGCCATTTTTTTTAAGGTGGTCTTTTCATTGTGGGAATGGAAACAGAGCAGAGCATTTACAAGGAAGGCTTTTAACTGTTAAAACTTGGAGGAAATGCTGTTTTAGGTTCAGAACTATGCACTGGACGACACAGAATGTCCATTTACATTGCCAGGTCTAGAAAGTATAGTCAAAGCTAGCACATTAGGGGCCGGCGCTGTGGCATGGCGGGTAAAGCCACCGTCTGCAGTGCTGGCATCCCGTATGGATGCTCTTCTTTTGATCCAGCTCTCTGCTATGGCCTAGAAAAGTACCGGAATATGACCCAAGTCCTTGGGCCCTTGCACCCACATGGGAGACTTGAAAGAATTTCCTGGCTCCCGGCTTCGCATCACACAGCTCTGGCCATTGAGGCCGTCTGGGGAGTGAACCAGTGGATGAAAGACCTCTCTTTCTACCTTTACCTCTCTGTAACTCTGCCTTTCAAATAAATAAATCTTAAAAAAAAAAAAAAAAAAAGCTAGTCGATTTTTCTAATGTCATTCAGGAAAACTGTTAGTAGGAACCATTCATGGATGGGGAATCAGCCCACAAAGCACCAGATTCAATTCAAGCTGGGGGACTCAGGAAGCAACCTCCACACGCCTTCCTCTGCGTCCTTAACCTCCTTCTCACCACAGCACATTCAGGCTGCCTAAGGTTGCATCACTAATTAGGACCAGGAACATCATTCAGTTTTAAAGATGTAGCGCCAGGAATTGTGTGCAACAGTATTGTGTGCAGCCCGGCTCCAGCACCTCCTACTTGTGTGAGCTGAATGAAGATGCGGAGCTGTTCTGCGCCTCAGTTTCTCTACCTGTGGAATGGGAATGCTAATGACAGTCTCAACCTCAGTTTAAAAGAGTGAGTGAGTGGGGCCGGCGCTGTGGCGCAGTGGATTAACGCCCTGGCATGAAGTGCCAGCATCCCATATGGGTGCTGGTTCAAGACCTGGCTGCTCCACTTCCTGTCCAGCTCTCTGCTATGGCCCAAGTCCTTAGGCCCCTGCACCCATGTGGGAGATACAGGAAGAAGCTCCTGGCTCCTGGCTTTGGACTGGCACAGCTCCGGCCGTTGTGGCCATCTGGGGAGTGAACCATTGGATGGAAGAACTCCCCCACCCCCACCCCGTAACCTTTTCAAATAAATCTTTTTTTAAAAAAAAAGTGAGTTGACACAAGCACCTGCAAAGCACTTTGAACTGTGCCTAGAACATGGTAAATGCTGAAGAAATGTCAGTGATTAACTTGCATCCAGACTCCCAGGTAAACTTTCAAACCAACTCAATTTCTGAGTAATTTTTTGAGACGCGTTCTCAGTTCTTTACAAACATTTGTTGGATGTGGCCTCTACTCTTTTAGTCTGTTCTTTGAGTGCTTGAAGGCTGGTTTGACAACATCCCAGTGTCATAAAGTTTTTTTCTAGTATGCATATGAAAAGGATACGGTAGTTCCATGTTGAAAGAGAATCTCACTATCACATATGAAAATGAAGACCCTTCCCTCCGTCCACGCGGAAGATAAGGCTGTAGATCTTAAAGGGACTGTTTGTAAAAGCACACATGTATTTATAATCTGTGACCTGGGAAGGAAATGCCAGCGCATATATTAAGAGTATATGGGACAATTCAAGATTTAACTGTGTCCTACATAAAACATTAACTGAAGTTCAAAGGAATAGAATTTACTGCTCTTCTGGGAAGTGGGACTGCCTGCTTTCCTAATTGTACTTTGGAACTACTATTTGGGGCTGGCATTGTGGTGCAGCAGGTTAAGCCAGAGCCTGCAATGCCGGCATCCCAAATGGGCGCCGGTTCAAGTCCCAGCTGCTCCACTTCTGATCCACCTCCCGGCTAAAGCTCCCAGGACAGCAGCAGCAGATGGCCCAAGTACTTGGATCTCTGCCACCACATGGGAGACCCGGATAGAGTTCCGGACTCCTGGCTTCGGCCTGGCCCAGCCCTGACCATTGCAGCCATTTCGGGAGTGAGCCAGCTGACGGAAGATCTCTCTTTCCCTCACTCTTTCTGCCTTTCAAATAAATCAATCCTAAAAAACAGTAAGGAACTACTATTTTACACACACACACACACACCAGTCTGAATAATTTAATGAAAAGTTACCCTGCAATCTGCTGGTGTAACATAATTGTCTCTAGAAATTCCAGTGTAGTCACAGCTAATTTCCTCCACCTCTGAGCCAGGACAGCTCTTTCTCCCTGTGCTTTCACCATCTGGACCCTGTGTCCTTCTCCTCTGTGGCCTCCATAGGATCAGCATTGAGATTTGCATCCCAGTTTCGGTAACCGTGAGACATTACAGTACACTTCACGTTCATCGACTCTGAGCTCGCGATACTCTTTCAAAGCTTTTTCTGTATTCCCAATGCCATGGGTTGGGCTGGGAATATCATTCATGGTATTCTGAACCCGTCTTTGGAGGCACCTCACATAATCTGGAGCCGGGAGGAGCAGAAGCACACACTCACTCACACAGACGTGCACCATGCACTTTGCAACAGGAAACTGCATCACTGATGAACGTCATTACCAAATGACTGCTCTTTTCTACCAACTACAATTGCATAAGAAACCAGTGATAACCATCATGAGCTACCAGTTCTTACCCACTAGGATGGCTGCTATCAAATAGTGAATACCTGTTGGTGAGGAAGTGGAGAAATTGAGACCCCAGGCAATGTGGGGGAAAGGGAGCTGTAAAATGATGCTACCACTGTGGAAAACTGTAAGATAGTTCCTCAAAAAATTAAGCATAGAGTTACCATGTGATTCAGCAATTCCACTTCCGGGTATATACACAAAGTAATGAAAAGCAAAGTATCTGTACACCAATGTTTCAGCAACATAACTCACCATTGCCAAAAGGAGCAACCACCACACACGTCCCTCACTGAGTGGATAAACAAGATGCAGGAGACACATGCCACAAACCATGACCCAGCCTTCAAGGAGGCTCTGACAGGTGCTACAACATGGAAGAATCCTGAAGACATTATGCCAAGTGAAACAAGCCAGACACAAAAGGACGAAAGCCCTAGGGTTCTGCCCAGGTGAGGTACCTGGAGTCGTTAGATTCATAGAAAGTAGCACAGTGGGGACGGGAGGCCGAGGGGCGGGGGAGGGGAGAATTACTGTGTAACGGGAGTGGGTTTAAGGCAGGGATGATAGAGAGTTCTGGAAAGGGCCGCTGGTGACCTCTGCACAGCAGTGTGACTGGCCATCGTGTCGCTGACCAACCAGTTTAACACGGCACGTTTAGTTATGTGTGTTTACTGCCCAAGACATCTGGGGAACAGGGGGCAGGGAAGGCTTAGAGACACAAAAAGGACAAAAACAAGAGTCAATGAAATTGGGATTTCATTAGAAGCTTTTAGAAAATGGTATAGTCAGTTTAACACGTTGAAGAGATTGTATGATCTATAACCTCTATTCTCCTTATCACCATGTCCAATACACCACAGTTAAGTGAATCAGTCACACAGTGTGCTGCTCAATAAATGTTTAAAAATTTATTTTTTAAATTTGAAAGGCAGCGGCATCCCATATGGGTGCCAGTTCATGTCCTGGCTGCTCCTCTTCTGATCCAGCTCTCTGCTGTGGCCTGGGAAAACAGTAGAAGATGGCCCAAGTGCTTGGGCTGCTGTACCCACTTGGGAGACCAGGAAGAAGCTCCTGGCTCCTGGCTTTGGATCGGTCCACCTCCAGCTGTTGTGGCCATTTGGGGAGTGAACCAGTGGATATCCCTCTGGCTTTTTCTCTCTCCCTCCCTCTCTGTAACTCTACCTTCCAAATAAATGAATACATCTTTTTTAAAAATTTGAAAGGCAGAAACACACACACACACACAGAGAGAGAGAGAGAGAGAGAGAGAGTGAGAGTGAGAGAAGTGAGAGGGAGAGAAAGAGAGAGAGAGAAACTTGCACCCAAGAAAGCACTTCCATCTGGTCGTTCATTCCCCAAATGCCCACAACAGCCAGGGCTGGGCCAGGCTGAAGCCAGGAGCTAAAACTCAATCTGGCTGTCTCATATGGGTGGCATATACTTGAGCCATCATCTGCTGCCTCCCAGGGTGCACACTAGCTGGAAGCTGGAACAGGAAGGAGAGCTGGGACGTGGACCAGGCACTCTGACCAGGGATGCAGGTGCTATGCTAAACACCAGCCCCTGCTCAGTGCATTCTTGAGACCAAAGGCTTACATGCATCAAAAGACAAACGATTTACTTCATGCCTTGAGAAAAGCAACTCTACAGCTAATAGGACCCTTCTCTTAGACATGCAATGGAATGCTGAACTTACTACAATTCTGCAGGATTTAGACTACAGCATGGAGCATATATGGTCTGCCAACTGTTTGTTTTATAAATAAAGTTTTATTGGAACACAATCATAAAATTTAAAAAAAAAATTATCCATGGCTGCCACTGTACTGCAATGGCAGAACTGACAGTTGAGACAGAGACAGTACGGCCCAGGAAACCTAAAATATTCCTCCTCTGGCCCTGGTCTAGATGTGCAGGGCTCCACGAG